TCGGTGCCACAGAACACTCTGGTTTCAGGAGTCAAACGCTCCGGATTTGGGAGCTGCAGCGCCATCGAGAGCCCTGGTTTCAGGAGCCGAATGCTCCGGTTTCGGGAGCATCAGTGCTGCCAAGCACCCCGGTTTCAGGAGCCAAACGCTCCGGATTAGGGAGCTGAGCCCTCCGGTTTCGGGAGCCAAATGCTCCGGTTTCGGGAGCTGCGGCGCTGCTGAGCACCCTGGTTTCGGGAGCTAAATGCTCCGGATTCAGGAGCCAAATGCTCTAGATTCCAGAGCTGCAGCAGCTGCAGTGCCAAATGTTCTGGATTCGGGAGCCAAATGCTCCAGTTTTGGGAGCTGCAGCGCCGTCAGGCACCCCAGTTTTGGGAGTCAATCGCTCCGCTGAGCACCCCAGTTTTGGGAGACAAATGCTCCGGATTCGGGAGCCAAATGCTCCGGTTTTGGGAGCTGCAGTGCCGCCAAGCACCCTGGTTTCAGGAGCCAAATGCTCTGGATTCGGGAGCCAAATGCTCCGGATTCAGGAGCTGCAGCAGCGCCGAACGCTCCGGATTCGGGAGCCAAACGCTCCGGATTTGGGAGCTGCAGCAGCGCCGAATGCTCCAGTTTCGGAAGCCGAACACTCTAGTTTCAGGAGCCAAACGCTCCGGATTTGGGAGCTGCGGCGCCGCCGAGCGCTCCGGTTTTACCTTCAGCTCCGTGATTCTCTCCTCCTCGCGGCTCTTCTGCTGCAGCACCGCGTCCAGCTTCTGCCGCAGCGGATCCAGCTGCTCCTGCAGCTTGTTCTGGGGGGAAAAAGGGGAAAACATTGCCAAAAACCAGCCCCGGGATGGCTAAATGCTTCCCGCTTTGGTCATCGGGCTGAAAAGGGAGGTTTTCCGAAAAACAGCCCGGGAATTGTGGGGAAATCCTGCCCATTTTGTCACCGAGCTGAAAATTCCAGCTGGGAACACCGGCTTTCCGGCAGCCCGACATCCAAATCCCAAGGTAAATCCCTGCGGAAAGCTCTGCTGCCTGCGGGTTGGGATCAGCCTTTGGAGACACCTGGGAAGCGCCTTCGGAAGCGCTTGCAAGGCGCAAAAAAATGGGGGAAAAAACGGGAATTGGGGTGATTTCAACGTGGGACGAATGCCTCTGGGAATGGCGATTCCTGCCGGATGAGCCTCCCGCATTCCGAAACCTGGAGCTCATCCCACCCCACGAGCGGCTCCTGGTGTCCCCAGGACATCCTGGGGGCTCCTGGGACACCCCGGGAGCGGTTCCTGGTCCCTTGGGACACCCCGGGAGCAGCTCCCGGTCCCCATGGCCACCCCAGGGGCGGCTCCTGGTGCCCCCAGGACAACCCAGGAGCTCCTGGGATATCCCGGGAGCAGCTCCCATTCCCTTGGGACACCCCGGGAGCAGCTCCCAGTGTCCCCAGGGACATCCCAGGAGCAGCTCCTCATCCCCCCAGGACACCCCAGGAATTCCTGGGATACCCCAGGAGCAGCTCTCGGTCCCTTGGGACACCCTAGAAGCGGCTCCCGGTGCCCCCAGGTGCCTCCTGATCCCCTGGGACACCCCATGAGCAGCTTCCCATGTCCCCAGGACACCCCGGGAGCGGCTCCCGGTCCCTCGGGACATCCCGGGAGCAGCTCCTGGTCCCCCCAGGACACCCCAGGAGCGGCTCCCGGTGCCCCCAGGACACCCCAGGAGCAGCTCCCGGTCCCTTGGGACATCCCGGGAGCAGCTCCTGGTGCCCCCAGGACACCCCGGGAGCTCCTGGGACACCCCAGAAGCGGCTCCCGGTGCCCCCAGGCGCCTCCTGGTCCCCCTAGGAGCGGTTCCCAGTTCCTTGGGACACCCCAGGAGCTGCTCCCAGTGTCCCCAGGTGCCTCCTGGTCCCCTGGGACACCCCATGAGCAGCTCCCGGTGCCCCCAGGACACCCTGGGAGCTCCTGGGACACCCCAAAAGTGGGTCTCGGTCCCTTGGGACACCCCAGGAGCAGCTCCTGGTGCCCCCAGGTGCCTCCTGGTCCCTCCAGGAGTGGTTCCCGGTCCCTTGGGACACCCCAGGAGCAGCTCCCGGCCCCACCCAGGTGCCTCCTGGTCCCCCAGGACACCCCGGGAGCAGCTCCCGGTCCCTGGGGCCACCCTGGGAGCCCCTCCCGGTGCCCCCCGCACCCCCGGTACCTGCAGGTCCTGCAGCACCTCGTCGAGGGGCACAACGCTGTGGTGCTTGTGGCCGCGCGCCTCGCGGCACACCACGCAGATGGCCTCCTCGTCCACCTCGCAGAAGAGCTTGAGGGGCTCCTGGTGCTTGGCGCAGAGCTCGGCGCCGCCGCGCGCCGCGCCGGCTGCGGATTCGGCGCCGGGAGGGCGCGGGTGCAGCTGCCGGATGATCTGCACCATGTTGGCCAGCTGCAGGTTGGGGCGGAAATCCCGCCGGCAGAAGCTCTGGCGGCACTGGGGGCAGGTGAAGGGCTGCCCGCCGGCGGCCTCCTCTTCCTCCTCCTCCTCCTCCTCCTCCTCGTCGTCCTCCACCTCCTCCACGTCCTCCTCCATGGCGTCCTCGGTGTCCTCGTCCTCGTCGGCGAAATAGAGCGGGCGGGCGGCGGCGCCGGCCCACGCGGCGCCTTCCACGGGCACCTCCCACAGCTCCGAGTCCTCCTCTTCCTCCTCCTCCTCCTCGCTCCACATCTCCTCCTCCTCCTCCTCGGGGGCTCCTTCCTCCTCCTCCTCGTCGTCGTCGTCGTCCTCGCGGCCCCGGGGCTCGGCGGGGAGGGGGTCGCGGGGGCCGGGCCCCCCCGGGGCGCCCCACAGGCGGGCGATGCAGCCGCGGCAGAAGTTGTGGCCGCAGCCGATGGACACGGGCTCCACGAAGTAGTCGAGGCAGATGGCGCACACGGCCTCCTCCTGCAGCGTCTCCACGGGGTCGAGGCCGAAGGCCGCCGGCGCCGCCATGCTCGGCACCCCCCCCCCCCCCCGGGGGAGCCCCCCCAAAGGGCTGCGGGAGCGCCCCGAGCGGCCGCGGCGCCCCCCAAAGCGGCGCCCTGGGGGATTAAAAGGGGCTGCTGGGGCCAAAAGTGGCCTCGGGAGAGCCCAAAGCGGCTCCGAGTGACCCCAAAGGGGCTCTAGGGGACCCCAAAAGCAGCTTCTCGGCCCCAAAATGGCCTCGGGAGACCCCAAAGTGGCTCCTAGAGCCCTGAAAGCGGCTCCGGGGACCCCAAAAGGGCCTTGGGAGACCCCAAAGTGGCTCCTAGAGCCCACAAAGTGGCTCCAAGGGACCCCAAAAGCGGCTTGTGGACCCCAAAAGGGCCTTGAGAGACCCCAAAGTGGCTCCTAGAGCCCTGAAAGCGGCTCCGGGGACCCCAAAGGGGCCTTGGGAGACCCCAAAGTGGCTCCGAATGCCCCCAAAGTGGCTCTAGGGGACCCCAAAAGGGCCTTGGGAGACCCCAAAGTGACTCCTACAGCCCACAAAGTGGCTCCAAGGGACCCCAAAAGCAGCTTTTAGGACCAAAAGTGGCCTTGGGAGACCCCAAAGTGACTCCCAGAACCCCCAAAGTGGCTCCAGGGGACCCTAAAAGCAGCTTCTTGGCCCCAAAACGGCCTCAGGAGACCCCAAAGTGACTCCTAGAGCCCCCAAAGTGGCTCCAGGGGACCCCAAAAGCAGTTTCTGGGATGAAAAGTGGCCTCAGGAGTCCCCAAAGTGACTCCCAGAGCCCCCAAAGCGGCTCCTAGAGCCCCAAGCGGCTCCCGGGGTCACCAAAAGTGGCTCCTGGGCCCCAAAAATGGCTTCAGGAGACCCCGAAGTGGCTCCAGGGGACCCTAAAAGCAGCTTCTGGGACCAAAAGAGGTCTTGGGAGCCCCCAAAGCGGCTCCCCGAGCCCCTAAAGTGGGCTTGTGGGCCCCAAAACGGCTTCGGGAGACCCCAAAAGGGCTCCTAGACACCCCAAAGGGGCTCCAGGGGCCCCCAAAAAGCAGTTTTCCCGCCCCAAAACGGCTTCGTGAGCCCCCAAAACGGCTCCTCGAGCCCTAAGCGGCTCCCGGGGTCCCCAAACCGCCCCCAGGGCCCCAAAGCGGCGCCGGGGGGCCCCGAAAGCCGCTCCCGGGGCTCCAGAAACGGCTCCGGGACCCCAAAAACGCCGCCGGGACCCCCCCCCCCCCCGCCCTCGGTGCGGCCGGAAGCGGAGCAGGCCGCGCCGGCGGCACCCGGAAGTGGAGCAGGCCGCGCCGCCCACGGCCCCGTCGGCCCCGACCGGAGGCCGCGGAGGAGCCGCCACCGGCCCCGGTCCCGGCCCCCTCCTGCCGCCGCTCTGCCCACCCGCGCCGCTCTCTATGGTACGCGGCTCCGCCAACGGCCACTTCCGCTTTCCGCCTCCGCCGCCCCGCCTCCGCAGCGTCACCTGACCGGAAGGAGCCGGCCGGCCGCGGGTTGCTGGGCAACGCGGCGGCACAGGAAGCGGGAGGGAGGCGCTCTAGCCCCCACCCCCGCCATGGCGCGCGTTGCCGGGGCAACCGCGACGCCATCGTGCTGCTGCGCCCCCCTCCCCAGTGCTCTGGTAGGGGCGGGGCCGAGCGTTGCGCGGCCAATCGGAGCGCGGCCTGAGGCGGTGGGCGGGGCGAGGGGCGGGGCCGACGCGCCCTGAGCGCCGCGCGGCAGCGCCCCCTGCAGCAGCCCGGCTAGCTCAGTCGGTAGAGCATGAGACTCTTAATCTCAGGGTCGTGGGTTCGAGCCCCACGTTGGGCGCTTCGCTCTTTTATTTAACCCCATCCCTTTATTTTCTTTTTCCGCCCCAAATAGACCCCTCCACCCGCCCCTGCAGGGGGAGAAGCCCCCGGGGTGTCCCCAGCGCCGGGGTGGCCCCTCCAACCCGCGGCCGTAGGCCCGAGGGGCGGCTGCTTTCCCAACGCGTTTCTGTAGTGTAGTGGTTATCACGTTCGCCTCACACGCGAAAGGTCCCCGGTTCGAAACCGGGCAGAAACACTGACTTTTTTTTCCCCCCCCACCGCCCTTTTCCTTTATTTTTGTTTTTTTTCGCCCCGTTTCGGGGCTCTGCGCCCTCTCCCTGCCGCCTAATTACGTAGCTGATTACCGCTAATTAGCCCCGCGCGGTGACGGGAGCCGCTGGGTAGGGCTCTACTAGCAGCAGCCCGGCTAGCTCAGTCGGTAGAGCATGAGACTCTTAATCTCAGGGTCGTGGGTTCGAGCCCCACGTTGGGCGGGGGAGTTATTTTGCGCCTCCCCCCAAAAATAGCGATAAACCCCAAAACCAGCCGGATTTCCCCCGAAAACAACCCTATTCCCCCTAAAACAACCCCGTTCCCCCATAAAACCCTTATAAGCTCTACATAACACCAAGGACTCCCTAAAATGCACAGAACGAGTCCCAAAGACCTGAGCGCCTTGGGGGGCGTCCCGGGTCTTTGTCCCCTTCTCCATGGTAGTTTGGAGACCAAAATGGGGGGGGGTTGTTTCCTTCCTAACGCCTCCTCCTCCTCCTCCTCCTCCTTCCTTTTCCCCTCCTTTTCCTCCTCCTCCTTTCCCTCTTCCTCTTTTTCCTCCTCCTCCTCCTTTTCTTCCTTCTCCTCCTTTTCCTCCTCCTTCTTTTCCTCCTTTTCTTCTTTCTTTTCCCTCTCCTCCTTTTCAACCTCCTCCTCTTCCTCCTCCTTTTCTTACTTCTTTTCCTCCTCCTCCTTTTCCTCCTCCTCCTCCTTTTCTTCCTCCTCCTTTTCCTCCTCCTCCTTTCATTCCTCCTTCTCCTTTTACTCATTTTACATAGTAGAAACCAGCCATCGGGCCCACCAAACTCCCCCAAAAGCAGCTTTTCCACCCCATTACACCTCTCCTTTCCTCCAAAATCCCATTTTCCCCCATGGACTGTCCAGAACTGGGTGAACTCTGCGGTCACGAAGGGCGGATTCCTTGAAAAACGGCGTTTTCTTCTGAGAAAGCCCCAAAGAGGAAGCGCCGCCGCCGAAATGAGTCAGCGGTGTTAATTATAGCACCAAAAAGGGGAACGAAGAAAGAAAACAAGAGGAAATGGGGCAGAAAAGCAAAATTCACCCCATGACCAAACCCCATCCTCATGTCCCCACCAAAAGCACGAGAGGATCCATCCCTCTTACGACTCCTGGGAAATAAGAGCGGAAAAGGACAAAAAAATCCCTATTTTTTTCCCACAAATACTTTGGGATTCTTCCCGTGCTTTCCATCTCCACCCCGCTTTGATTCCCTCTTCCGTGGTGTCTCCAATGGAGACGTCTCCCTCCCCAGGCTCTTTTCCATCACCGTCGAGGAGAAGCAGACGCGGGTCGGCTTCAGTTGGTCCTATGAGGATACCCTTTCCCGTTGATTCCCATGCAAAGCCTCAAAACATCAGAAAACACGACAAAATAAATCACTTTCGGTCTCTCTTTGCCCCAAAACGTTTCATTTTGAGCCCAAAAAGGTAATTGAAGGTCTACAGGAAGGTTGGCATGAGACTAAGCTCATGGTTGGTGCTCGCTGAGCCTTCGTTTTTGGGAGGTGAAGAGGAGTCTTTCTGCTCCAAGCCCAGCACCTTGGATGCTCCTCCTGGTGCTTTTCCCCTTGCCACCATCCCAGCTCCAACAGCGGGATCTCCATCCAGCCAAGAGCTTCTGCCCCGCTCCCCGCGGCCAACGGGACCTTGGGCCCAGCTCGCCTTGACCTTGTCACCAACGTCCTCGAGATGCCGGGAGCCTCATCCCCCTCTACATCACATCACCCTCTCCCCCTACATCACATTGGAGGGGACAATGCTCTTCCCACCACCCCATGAACCATGAACCACCCCATGGACATGGAGAGGTCCACGACGCTCTTGCGTCTTTGCTGACCACGGAATAAGCAGACAGGGAAGACCATGGAAGGCCATGGAAATCTTTATAACCCATTGAAGCCCAAGGTCTTCAATGATCGGCGCAAGACGCCCTTGCACCCAACGGGTCTCCATTGGGCACCCATGGATGTCCCCAGAATGGGCGACTACAGACCCATGGAGACGCTTCACCCTATGGAATAACAGGACGGGAGGAGAGGCCGAGCGGGAATCCGGTCCTTGGGGAAGTGCTGGGGACAAAGGTGACATCTGTTTGGTGGGAAAAAGGATCTTCTGCCCCTCAGGGGCACAACGTTATCTGGGAGCCCTCGCCCCACACCAGGAACCAGGGGTGGACGCTCTCCCCGTGGAAAGAGGCGGCCGGGAAAGCGAAGATGAGGGACCTCGTGTGGGCGTCGAAGAAGGCCACCCGGCCCTGCTCGTAGTCCAGGGAGACCCGGACGCGCCGAGGGACGCGCTCGCGGGAGAGCGCCGTGCGCTCCAGGGACGTGAGCGCCCAGAACTGGCCCTGGCAGAGCCCCATGGACCAGAGCTGGACGCCGGGGCTCCCGTCCCCGCTCGGCGCGGGCCCCGTGGCCACCCCCAGGGCCCAGGAGCCGTGGGGTGCCACCTCCACGTCCCAGCAGCGCCAGCCCGAGAGGATCCCGTCGCGGCCCAGCACGCAGGGATCGGGGTCCCCATCCCCATCCCCATCTCCATGGGCTTCTTCCCATCTCACGCTGCTCCCGTCGGCCGACACGGCGAGCTGCGGATGAGCCGTGCCGGGGTCCAGGCTCACCTTGGCTGCGTGGGAAGGATGGGTGAACGTTCCCCAATCCATGTCCCGGGTGAACATTCCCCCATCCGCGTCCCCAGGACCTCTCCTACGGCTCCATCCCATGGGATGATCCCACCAGCTCCATTCCCAACAACGGGCGGATGGGGAACACCCCAACATCAGAAGGACGTTGAGGTGCCAGGGTGGGAGGGAAAGGGGCAGGAGGGAAGAGCAAGCCCCATGGCAAGAGGAGGACACGCCAGCATCAAGCAGGAGAAAACGGGGAGATTCCTCTCTTTTTTGTTGTTTTCCCTACGGACCAAGACGCGTTTCCTTCCCAAAACGCACCAGCGTACGGGGGGACATCTAAGTCCTCCCCGCATTGGTTTCCCCTTCCCGCTCCAGAAGAGGACTTACTCTTTTCAGGCAGCTCGAACATCAGGATGTCTTTGAAAAAAAAAGGGGGAAAAGGGATATTGAGAAAGTCGAGGGCCTGGAGAGGCTCTATGTCGCTCCGGATCACGCCGCGCGTCAAGGTACCTTGGAAGCTCCTCAACGTCTCCTTCAGAGCAAGGGTCTTGTCCCTGAAGCGGCCGATCTTCTCCTCCAGCTCCGGAAGGGCCAACGGGGGCCGCTGGAAACTCCCCTCCTCACCCCTAGGGAAGAGGGGAGCAGAGAGGTGAGGGTCCATCTGCTCGGAGGGACCTCAAGGAGTCGCTCCCGCCGCTGCGTTGGGGCAGGGGCTTCAACCAGCGCGTCCAGGTGGGTGGAAATGGGTGGTTTGGGGCGTTGAAGACCAGCTTTGGCCACCCCTAGGCAGAAACGCTCTGGGTCTCCGGGTCTCCTTGCTCTAGGAAGCAAGGGTCTCCAGCAGAGCCGAGGAGGAAGGTTTCTCCTATGGGTGCTGAAGCTCCGGATAGGTTCTCCTTCATCGGCTGCGGTTCTGGGCGTTTGGGGCCCGCTTGGTAGATGTTCTCCTGGCTCAGGCGGCCCCCTCGAGCACAAGGTCCAAGTCCCCCCCCAAGCCCGCGGTGGTGGTGGGAAGCGATGGAAGCCTCGTACCTGCTCAAGGTGCCTCTGATGTCCTGCAAGGGGGAGAAGGAAGCTCCGTGAAGGGGGGATTTTGGTGGCAAACCACTTAGTCCAACCTCAAAACCGAGTCTAACATAGTCCAGCCCCAAAACTGAGTCCAATCTCAAAGCCAAGTCCAACTGAGTCCAACCCCAAAACCGAGTCCAACCGAGTCCAACCTCAAAACCGAGTCCAACTGAGTCCAACCCCAAAACCGAGTCCAATCCAGTCCAACCCCAAAGCCAAGTCCAACCTAGTCCAATCTAATCCAACCCCAAAACCGAGTCCAACTTATTCCAACCCCAAAATCTAGTCCAGCCTAGTCCAACCCCAAAGCCAAGTCCAACCTAGTCCTGCCCAGTCCAACCCCAAAACCGAGTCCAACCGAGTCCAACCCCAAAGCCAAGTCCAACCTAGTCCTGCCCAGTCCAACCCCAAAACCGAGTCCAACCGAGTCCAACCTCCAAAGCAGGAATGGAGTGGAGCACAACTTGGGTTTGAGGAGCAGCACCCAAGGCCAAATCCCAGCCCAGATTCCTCCACCCACGACCTCCTCACCTGCAGAAACTCTCTTGCTGGTTGCCGGCATTTCTCCTCCATCTCCTGGATCACGGTGTCCAGGCGCGAGATCTCCTCGGTGAGGCTGGTGACCTTCTCTTCATGCGTTTTCTCAATGTCTCTGTCGAGCCGTCCCAGCTGGGCCAGGAGACAACGCGCCTGCTCCTCCAGGAAGAGCCGCAGCTGCTCGAATTCCGACAGGATTTGATGCCGCTCGGCTTCGGTCTTCTCCTAGGAGCAGGTGAAGGGAAGAGGGTGAGGAAGGAGCAACCAAACCCCTGGCTAGACTCCAGGCTCTGCCTTCCTGGTGCCATCCAACAAAAGAAAATCACAGTTTTGGGCTTGGCGCCTCCAAAGGGTCCCGGTTGTGGCCCAGGAACCCGTGTGGCGTCTCACGCTGAGGTGACACCCCGTTCCCACATCCCGTCCTCCGCGGCGCCTACCAGATATTCCCAGTTCCTCCCCATTTCAGCCTCTCGCAGGGCCAGCAGTTGGTCCCGTTCTTCCTTCAGGGCCTGCACGCGGGCCTGGACGTGTCCCTGCGGGAAGGGAGAGGTCCCCGTGGCCGTCGGAGCAGGGCACCAAGCGGCTTCCTGGAGCCAGGGAACGTCTGCAGATGGTGCCAGCGGGGAGGAGGACCTCGCTGCTTCATCTGCACGGCATCTTTGGGATGGACGTTGGGCACCAAAACAGCGGGAATCCCAAGGCACCCCCTGCTCCGGTGCTTCCCAAGGGACAACTGGGTGTTGGGGACAAGGAGCCGGACCGGGGCGGAGGTTCCCGGGAGCGGGAATTGCTCGGTAGGGATGGGACCTCCCCCGACGGGGACAGGGATGGGGCAGAGATTCCCGGGAATTGCGGGACGGGGACAGGACCTCCCCCAACGGGGACGGGGCGGAGATTCCCGGGAATGGGAACTGCAGGACGGGGACGGGACCTCCCCGAGGGGGACGGGATCGAGATTCCCGGGAATTGCGGGACGGGGACGGGACCTCCCCCGACGGGGACGGGGCGGAGATTCCCGGGAATTGCGGGACGGGGACGGGACCTCCCCGAGGGGGACGGGATGGAGATTCCCGGGAATTGCGTGGCGGGGAAGGGACCTCCCCGACAGGGACGGGACGGAGATTCCCGGGAATTGCGCGGCGGGGACGGGACCTCCCCGACAGGGACGCGGCGGAGATTCCCGGGAATTGCGCGGCGGGGACGGGACCTCCCCGACAGGGATGGGACGGAGATTCCCGGGAATTGCGCGGTCGGGACGGGACCTCCCCGACAGGGACGGGGCGGAGATTCCCGGGGGCGGGAACTGCAGGACGGGGACGGGACCTCCACGACAGGGACAGGACGGAGATTCCCGGGGGCGGGAATTGCGCGGTCGGGACGGGATCTCCCCCGACAGGGACGGGGCGGAGATTCCTGGGAGCGGGAATTGCGGGACGGGATCTCCCCCGACAGGGACGGGACGGAGATTCCCGGGAGCGGGAATTGCGCGGTCGGGACGGGACCTCCCCGACAGGGACAGGACGGAGATTCCCGGGAGCGGGAATTGCGCGGTCGGGACGGGACCTCCCCGACAGGGACGGGGACGGGGCGGAGATTCCCGGGAACTGCGCGGCGGGGACGGGACCTCCCCGACAGGGACGGGACGGAGATTCCCGGGAACTGCGCGGCGGGGACGGGATCTCCCCCGACAGGGACGGGACGGAGATTCCCGGGAATTGCGCAGCCAGGACGGGACCCCCCGAAGGTGAGGAGGCCCCCGGGGGGGGGGGGGCGCGGGGCCGCCCCCCCGTACCTTGTACTCCTCGGCGGCCTCGCGCACGGGCAGCACGGCGTGCGCGCGGTGCGCCCGCGACTCGCGGCACACGGCGCACAGCAGCGCCGCGTCCTCCCGGCAGAACGCCCGCAGCGGCTCCCGGTGCCTCGGGCAGCCGCCCGGAGCCTCGGCCTCCGCGCGGGCGGCCTCCGCGCTCAGCCTCTTGGCCGCCTCCAGCACGCGCCGCAGCTGCCGGTTGGGCCGGAGGCTGCGCTCCGGCGCGGCGCGGCGGCACCGCGGGCACGCGAAGCCGCCCGGGGCCCATTCCCAGCAGCGGGAGATGCAGCCGCGGCAGAAGCTGTGGCCGCAAGGGATGGAGACGGGGTCTTGGAAGAGCTCGCGGCAGATGGGGCAGGAGGCCCCGGAGCGCAGCGCGGCCGCCATGGGGGCCCCGGCGCCGCTTTCGCTTTCCGCCCCGCGCGGAGGCAGGAAAAGGCGCTTCCGTCCTCCCGCGCCCAACGCTCCGCACGGGCAGAGCCCTCCAAGAAGCGCCTGGAGGTCCCAAACCCGCCCGGAACGTCCCCTTGTTCCAGCAGGAAAGGGGTGTCCTTATTCCGGCACCCAGCGTTCAACAAGGATAGGGATCAGGGGCAAGTTGGGCTTGGGAGCCAAGACTTGGAGGAGAAGACACGGACACAAAGAGAATCCCAGAACATCCCCTTATTCCAACAGGAAAGGGGTGTCCTTATTCCGGCACCCAGCATTCAACAAGGGAAGAGACCAAGGGGCAAGTTGGGTTTGAGAACCAAGACCTGGAGGAGAAGACATGGACATGAAGGGAATCCAAATTCGCCCCAGAACATCCCCTTATTCCAGCAGGAAAGGGGTGTCCTTATTCCGGCACCCANCTGGAGGAGAAGACATGGACATGAAGGGAATCCAAATTCGCCCCAGAACATCCCCTTATTCCAGCAGGAAAGGGGTGTCCTTATTCCGGCACCCACCACTCAACAAGGACAGAGACCAGGAGGCAAGTTGGGTTTGGGAGCCAAGACCTGGAGGAGAAGACATGGATATTCCAGCAGGAAAGTCCTGCACCCAGCGCTCAACAAGGGAAGAGACCAAGGGGCAAGTTGGGTTTAGGAGCCAAGACCTGGAGGAGAAGACACAGACACGAAGGGGAATCCATGCAAGAAGAGCGGAAGAGGGAGGTTGAATGGAAGCTCCAGGAGGGAACCAGCTAATGCAAGGAACGGGGCACCCGGTTCTTGCTTTTCTTGCAGAAAATCGAGGTGCTTTTGCGCCTGGCGCACCCAAAACGCAGCCGCCAGCTCCCCCTTAAGACCAGCCTTGCAGCGGCCCGTGTTGTTTATGCCCAGATTAAAGGCGAATCATAGAATGCTTAAGGTTGGAAGGGACCTCTGGTTGCTCCATGTCCACGTATGTTCCTTTGGAGCGTCCTGGTTGCTCCATGTCCACGTATGTTCCTTTGGAGCATCCTGGTTGCTCCATGTCCACGTATCTTCCTTTGGAGCATCCCGGTTGCTCCATGTCCAGGGATCTCCCTTTGGAGCGTCCTGGTTGCTCCATGTCCAGGGATGTCCCTTTGGAGTGTCCTGGTTGTTCCATGTCCTGGAATGTCCCTTTGGAGCATCCCGGTTGCTCCGTGCACCTTTCCCAGCTCGTTCCTTGCTCCAGCTGCTCTTCCAGCTGCGTCCTTGCACGCCGGGCTCTGGACACCGGAAAACATCTGGACTAGATGGTCTCTAGAGGTCCCTTCCAGCCTCCACCATTCCTTGGTTCCGTGAATTCCTTGCTTCCATGAATGCCTCACTTCCATGAATTCCTTGCTTCCATGAATTCCTCACTTCCATGTATTCCTTGGCTCCATGAATTCCTCGCTTCCGTGAATCCCTCGCTTCCATGGAAAGCAGCAGCGCCGCGAGGAGCTCGGGAGCGGACGCGGCGCCTTCCCGCCCCTCTTGCTCCCCATGCAAACCAGCGTCACGGGGCAGCGCTTGCCCATTAATCCCTTTATTTTTTTGCCCTCTCCGCTCTTGCAACAGGGATGGGTGAATGAAGGCATTTTGGGGGGAAAAATAGGGAAAAGCCATGTTTTGCGTCCCGTTTTCCCATCCATAGGGAGCCCGTGGGGGAGTTTGGAAGATGAACGAGGTCCCAGCGGGTGCAAATGCAATAAAAAAGCCGCGTTTCGCTCAAAAACGAGAAGCGAAAGCGGCGATGGAGGTATTTATAGGCGGCGCGGAAGCCGGCGGTTGCAGCAGCCCGGATGCGCGGCGGGGCAGCCGGCGCTAATTGCAGCCGGGCCCTGCTTAATTGCAATTAATTGTTCGGAGATCGGGCGCCAGGGCGAAGAGAGGGAGCTCGTGGGGCCGATGTGCCGGGGGAGAGGGTAAGGGGGAAGGGGTAAATTGGGGTTGAGCGGGGGTAATTTGGGGTTGAGTTAAGGGGTAATTTGGGGTTGAGTGAAGGGGTAATTTGGGGTTGAACAAAGGGGAATTTTGGGGGTGGAGCAGAGGGTTAAATTGGGGTTGAGTTAAGGGGTAGTTTGGGGTTGAACAGAGGGGTAAATCGGGGTTGAGTGAAGGGGTAAATTGGGGGTTGAGTGAAGGGATAATTTGGGGTTGAATGGAGGGGTAAATTGGGGTTGGGTGAAGGGGTAACTTTGGGGTTGAGTGGGGGTAATTTGGGGTTGAGTCAAGGGATAATTTGGGGTTGAGTGGAGGGTAATTTGGGATTGAGTGGAGGGTAATTTGGGGTTGAGTGAAGGGGTAAATTGGTTTGAGCAGAGGGGTAAATTTGGGGTTGAATGAAGGGGGGGTAAATTTGGGGTTGAACGGAGGGGTAACTTTGGGGTTGAGTGGAGGGGTAACGGGTTGAGTGGGGGGTAATTTGGGGTTGAGCAGAGGGGTAAATTGAGGCTGAGTGAAGGGATAATTTGGGGTTGAGTTAAGGGATAATTTGGGGTTGAGTAGAGGGGTAAATTTGGGGTTGAACAGAGGGGTAAATTGAGGTTGAGTGAAGGGATAAATTGAGGTTGACTGAAGGGGTAAATTGGGGTTGAGTGGAGGGGTAACTGGGGTTGAGCGGGGGATAATTTGGAGTTGAGCAGAGGGGTAATTGGGGATTGAGTAGAGGGGTAACTTTGGGGTTGAGTGGAGGGGCAATTTGGGGTTGAGCTCCCGCCATGGCCGAGAGCTTCCGCGCCGAGGCCTCGTGCCCGCTGTGCCGGGGGCTCTTCCAGGACCCCGTGTCCGTGCCCTGCGGCCACAGCTTCTGCCGCGGCTGCATCGCGCGGCGCTGGGCCGGCCTCCGCGGCGG